GATCCCAGGGCTCGATCCCTAGACCTTACCTCACCCGTGTACAGTATCAAGTAGACCCTGTGTGTTTTGAACCCGTGACCTGTGTTTTGGTAGCTGTATGTTGTCTGTCATAGGTCTGTGTAGTTGTCGGGTCTTGAACCATAGATCTGTCGAGTAGGGGTCATACTTGTGTAGGGGTCGTAGCTGCTACAAGTCTGCAAGGTCAAGGTCGTAGCTGCTACAGTTTCGAAAGGCCAAGTCCACAGGCTTCGGAAGGTCCGGAAGTGGCTTTTCGAGAGTTTTCCACGTTAGGCCAGAGGCAAGTGAGCAAGTAGGCAGTCCAACTTTGTCTAGTCAGCGGTACCCAGTCCCAGTCTTACTTTGTCCAGTCAGCAAGTACCATGTGGGACTGTGTGCACCAGGGACCCGGTGGAAAAGGGCAGACCAGCGGCCAACAGAAGTATAAATCAAGAGGCAGCGTCCAGCCATTGATTGATTCCTGCGTGAGCCCTAGCGTCTTGTGCGAGGTGGTCTGCAGATGCCCAAAGTCGAAGTGGGCTGAGGCGGAGTTAGAGCAGCCATCGCTGCTTGTAGTTAACTGTAGCCGGCGGCCATAGCTGCCATAGTTGGTGATGGGTGATAGTAAGAGTGAGTGTGTGCGTGTGTGATACAGAGTGTGTGCGCGTGGGATATCCAGCGAGATCCAGAGTCAAGTGTATGTGAACAGTTGTCTGAATACAGTGTCCGAAGTGAGAGGTGTGGGCGCTTGGGCGCCATAGCCAATTTGCAGCAAGTTTGTATCTGAACTGAGTTCTCAACTTGAATATCCCTAAGCTTTGTGTGGGCACCCAGTGCCAGTGTGGTTTGCCATCTGTTTTGCATGCATGCGAAGTGAGAAGAAAGCGAGTCTGATTGCAAAGAAAGAAAAATCCAAAGGCGGGCCTGGCTGGGCAAAGAAAGCAATTATGCAAGGCGGCATCGCAAACCACTTTTGCCCAAAGCGCGAATCAAATCGCCTTAATAATTGAAAAAAAGAAAAAAAATGGAAAAAGCCTCACAAGGGGGACCTATTACGATTTAATCATGTCAATTGACTCAATTCATTTTAATGTTCTTTGCGACACGTTAAAAACACAGAAGATTCACATGTCCCCTGCAGACGGATGATATGCGAAAATTGAGTTAAAAAAAAAAAAACTTAAAAAAAGGGATTTAAATTTTAACACTAGGCTACCAGAGTGGCCTGCGACCAGGCCCAAAAAGAAAAGAAAGGAAAAAAATATTTTTTATTTTTAATTTGGTAAAGAATTTCGATGTGACCTTGAGGCAAAAGTCATTCAGTTTGTTTTTCTGCACAACATAGTTTTTTTTCCAGATTTTTTGGATTTTTTTTTTTTTTTTTTTGCTGTGGCATTCCCTGGTCCTTTCATAGACGGCCCCGGGAAAACAGGGTGACCCGGGCGGCCTGGCTGGCACCCAAGAGCCTAGATCACTGGGTACACCCATGAACCGTTGAAATACAGACCTGTGTTCGAATCCAGATGATGGAACTTGATGAGTAAAACCAACTACTAATGAATTGCCTGGGGCCGGTCAGCTCAACGATAATATCTCAAGGCGGTCGCCCTTTTGAGAATTAAAAAAAAAAAAAAAAAGTCTTCAGATATCCTCCTCGACACCCCTATAAAACCTGTTTGTACTTTTATGCTTCCCAGCTGGACCCTGACTGACCTGACCCCTCACCAAATTTGACGAAAAGGCCGGATTCTGACTGCTCAGGCCAAGCTTGTACCTGTACCAATGGGCCTAGCTCATTTGGTACACCCATGAACTGTTGAAATACAGATCTCAGTTTGAGTCCCAATCAACTCAGATGCATCCGGTAGGCTGTTTTTCTGGGCACCTGGCCCAACTTGTGCCCGGGTACACGCCCGAGTGCCCGACCGGGCATGACGCCCGGGCAAGGTTCCGGGCAGTCCCAGCACAAAAAAAAAAAAAAAGTTCCGGGCAAAAAATATGTTGTGTAGAATTGCAATACAAACGACTTTTGGCTGAGGGTCACATTAGAATTCCTCACGGAATCGGAGATAAAAAAGAAAGTAAGAGAATCACACTAAGGCACCTCCCTTTAAACCCCGTTAGCCCCTTTAAAACCAATTTATACCCCCCTCCCCGGCCCCTTGACAGCCAATTCGCAAAAAAAGAAGTCCGGATTTGGGGTGCTCTGGGAGAGTGCAAAAAACATTTTTCTTTTGTTCTTTTTTTCCTTTTTTGCATGCCCGGGTGCCTGGCCAGGCATGAGAATCTTCATAGCTCAGACGAATATCTCAAGGTCACCCCCCCTTTCGTTTTAAGAAAAAAAAAAGGCCAAGCACAAACCTGGCCAGAAGTCAGGCATTCTTTTTCTAGGATATTCTTGTCATGTCTGTACCATTTTTAGACCTACCTGGTTTTCCTGGGCAGGTTACCTCRTCCCCCTGTTTGGCACAGGCCTGCCCAGTATGATGGCTAGGTAGCCTACCAGTAAACAGATTTTCTCACAGCAGGTGCATTGCTTTCAGAGAGGAAGGACAGTGTAACATGCCGCGGTTTGAACTCTGGACCTCATCGTGGATAGGTTTAGTAAGTTTGCTAGGTTAGTAGCAATGCCTGAGACAGCAAAGACTGAGTACGTGATTAAGCTGTTCAAAGAAAACTGGGTGAGAGATTTCGGATTGCCCAAGTCTATTGTGAGCGACCGAGATGTCAGGTTTACAAGTGAGTTATGGAAGGCCGCTGCAGCCGAACAGGGAACTCAACTGCAGATGACTTCTGGGAATCATCCCGAAGCCAACAGCCAGGCCGAACAGATGAACCGCGCTGTGCAACAAATGTTGAGGCATTATATCAAGCCCAACCAGGTGGACTGGGACGAAAAGCTCGCACTTGTCGCCAGTCTGTACAATAACGCTGTACACAGCGCTACAGGGGTGAGTCCTAACAGTCTACAACTAACGTTTAAGCCTAGACTGCCCTTAGACTTCTTACTTTCTGACAACCAGCCAACTGCTGCACCAGGCACTCTACAGTTTGCCTACCGATATGAACAGAAAATGCAGGAGGCTGTAGAGCACATGCAGAAGGTGCAGGCAGCAATGATAGAATCTGGGAATAAACACCGCCGCCCTTCTACATTTCAGGTTGGGGACAGAGTCTGGTCAAGTCTTCAGAACTGGGACACGAGTTTGGGATATCCCGCAAACTCATGCCTCAGTACTTTGGACCTTGGGAAGTTTTAGACGTAGTAGGGACAGATCCTGATGGTCCATCATATGTCATACGTATACCTGGTCATCTCAGAACCTACCCAGTCTTTCACGCCTCTAAGCTCACTGCGTTCAAGGAAACTGATCAGTTTCCCTCTCGTCGATCAATGCTGCCCCCAACCATGGACGGAGAAGTCGACATCGATGATATCGTTGACCACAGGGAGATGCCTGTTCAGAAGCCTCCAGGAAGGGGACGTCCTCCAAAGCCAAAACTGCAGTTCCGTGTTCACTTCAGACATCACACAGATCCGAAGGAGGACCGCTAGTTTACTCGGGAGGAATTGATGCAGACCGCYCCTCAAATCGTTGCCCGCTATGAGAAGGATGTATTAAAAGGAAAGCGCCAGATGGCTCAGGATTGATCTTCTCAGAGGACTAACGAAGATATGGAGGAGGGAATGCGAGGCTACGCCCGCTCAGCCCCTTCGGGGCCCTTTTTCCAGTATGTCGGCCGCCCTAAGTGAAGGCAGGCGCGACAGGCCCTCAGGGCCTCGATTTTCAGGGTGCCCCGCAACTGGTGAAATTCAGACAGTTGAGCTGCGCCAGTTGGTTGAAGGCGCCCAGGCCCAGACCATATTTCGCAAATGTATCTGAATGGCGACCTGGGCCAGACGCGTGAAAAAGGCCGTGAGCAGGCCAAGGGCAGTTGTGCACATGCAACCATCAGGCCCTGGGCCTGCGTGTGAGGTCTGGGCCTGTGCCTACCGGGGCCTACCGGAAGCTTCCTGGACTGGACGCAGGCAGGCCACTTCGATATAGGGAAGGGCCTGCCTCCTCATTCGACATTCGGGTGCTGGCTGCATGCTGCACGAGCGCTGCTGCGCTATTTGCTGGCTGGCTGGCACTCACGCTCTCATGGGCGAGCAAGAAGTAGAGGGCAGCCATAGCCGAGCTGCTCCGCTGTGAGCTGGGTGTGACGCAGGGTGGTCCTTGGATGCAAATGACATCTGTGCGGTGTGGATCGGGGTTGTGAGTGTTGCGAGAGACATACCTGGTGCTGGAAGCGAGCGGCATTGTCCGCTGTATGCTCGTACTTCAGGGAGCTGTTGTTGTCAACATCGGCATTGTAGTATTAGGCTAGATAGGATCTGCCACAAGTAGTCTGGGCGCTGAGCGCCAATAGGATATCAACTCTTGTTCTTCGTTGATGATGATGAGAGACTATTTCAGCATTGTCAATTACGAACTATTGGTGTGTTCTGATTTGGTGAATCTCGTGATGCATGACTGCTGTTGGTTCGAGGTCAAGACTATCTGGACACATATGTATGATGCTGTTTGATTGCTGGAGTTAGCGCTCATCTTCCTTGCACCCTTTCGTTTTAAGAAAAAAAAAAGGCCAAGCACAAACCTGGCCAGAAGTCAGGCATTCTTTTTCTAGGATATTCTTGTCATGTCTGTACCATTTTTWGACCTACCTGGTTTTCCTGGGCAGGTTACCTCMTCCCCCTGTTTGGCACAGGCCTGSCCAGTATGATGGCTAGGTAGCCTACCAGTAAACAGATTTTCTCACAGCAGGTGCATTGCTTTCAGAGAGGAAGGACAGTGTAACATGCCGCGGTTTGAACTCTGGACCTCAGGCAAGAGACCCTTTTTTACAGGCTTCATGGCAATTCAGAATATCAGTGCATCATTTTGCATCGCAACAGTGAAACAAGTAAATAGCAGAGGTAATCATCCGTATGAGAAAGCCACCAACTCACAGTTACTCACCCATTCTTCGTTCGCCGTCCTGAAACTGGCCAATGATTCGTCTATGTCGTCAAAATCATCTTCTTCCTCTTCAGAGCCCCTCCTGGATTTCGATCTTCTCCATCGCTGCTTTCTCTCATACTCAGAAAGATTCCTGACCCGCTTCTTACCTTTACGGCCCCATGCCCCATTCATGCCGAACACACTTTCCCTCTCCCTTCCATTTGATCCATCTGCTTCCCTCTCTCTCATCTCCGTCCTACTCCCTGTGCCATCTGAGTCTGACAACGTCAGCGATTCCTGCAGATGCTTCAGTCGGCCGTTATTGCCTGAGCCAGCCAGAGTGCTCCCTGCGAGGTAACTCTTCCCGAGTAAATTGGTAAAGGGTGCGGCTCCTTTCTCTGCTCCGTTTTCTGGTCCCTTCTTCCACTCCCACTCGTTACCTCGTTCCTCGTCCTTTGTCCTCCCCGATGTCGATGGCATGGAGATCCCTGCCCCCATCGTGTCTGCGGACGTCATCCGTCCACCTTGTGGCAGAGATTGCAACAGTGTCTTTTGGGATAACATAGAGGAGATGGTTGCCTGCTGAAGAGGTCGCGTTGGAAGTCTTGCCGACGCATCCTGACCTTTGGACCGCACATCTTCCGGCTTTCTGATTCCCTGAGATCGAGGGGGGATCCTGGGCTCTACGGGAACACACTTTGGCACAGAATCCGGGTCCACTGACACTGCTGAGTTGGACTCCGCTTTAGACGACCTTGAAAAGGAGATCATCAGCTGCGTTCGGGACAAACGATCCAAAGAGCGGAGGGACGTCAACAGCCGAAAAACAACCATGTCATCACCACTCCATTTTTTTTTCTAATGCATATCTATAGCCAGGGGCACCATCAACTGCGCGGAGGGATGTCAACAGCTGAAAAACATCTAGGCTACCAGTTCAAAGCACGAAAGAGTCGGAAAAACAGAAGAAAATTTAGAAAAATAATCGGGGTGTCTTTAATTTTATTTTTTATTTTCAATTTGATAAAGAATTTCGATGTGACCCCAAGGCAAAAGTTGTTCAGTTTGTTTTTCTGCATAACATAGTTTTCTTTTCGTTTTTTTTTTTTTTTTTTTTTTTTTTTTTTTTTTTTTTTGGACGTTTAGACTCGGACAGACTGCCCCGGGAGGACTTCCGACCGGTTGTCCAACCGGACAACCCCGGACGGTCAGGGGGGTCCCGGATGTCCGCCTGGTAACATAGAAAAACATCCCTGTCATCGCCACTCAATTTTTCTGATGCATTTCTTTCTATAGCAAGCGGCACCATCAACTGTGTTCGTGTCAACTGCCGAAAAGATCCATGTGAGCACCACTCAATTTTTCCGATGCATTTCTATACCCAGGGGCATAGAAATCAGTACAAGAAATCGATGCGTAGTTCTGATCGATGGGTGTCCCAACCGCACTGTTCTCATCCCCTTCTTCCAAAACGCAAACTGTTTCCACCTGCACTGTATGGACAAGAAGTTGCATATATTTTTTCATTCACTTCTTCCCGAATATAACACCCTGTGGAATGTGACGCCGGGGCACTAGATTCGTTTCTTTACCGTCGAATCAGGGCCTTCTGTGCATAGGAAGGGTCTATATTACTCTATAATACTCTATATCCGAGATTTTCCGGGTAGTCAGCTATAGGGACTGGATTTCTGAGCATGTCTCTACTCACTGGCTGCAATGACCATTCAGTGCAATCAAATTCTAAGTCTTGTAGGGCTGATTGTGGTTGAGGGATACTCGTACCTTCCATAGCCGGAACACTTCCCGTTCGTCTTCCTCTGGATCTGCCTTTTTTCAACCTTGGGAGAGCCTTCGGTTCTCATAATTGAGAGAGGAAAGGATTTCCAGGATTTCACTTACATTCTCAGTTTATTCCGGTCTGCATTCAATGTTTTGTTACCAAAAATGCACTTCGGGATTTCAAGATTTACTTAGTCATGCTTAGTAATTTTTGGAGAGTGAGAAAACAGATAAATTCTCCTTCAACTCCTGGATGACGACACCCCGATCATTCCCATTCCATGTAAATTCTTCCTGAAGCAATTGCACCCAGCTTTCGGGGATGCTTCTTATAAATAAATAAAAAAGGCGGCAAGGTTGTTGCTGAGACTATGGCATCCTTTCAGGGGTTCCCTTAGTTTTTCTGTTGTTATCCAATCACATATGGAAGTTCATCCCAGATCAGCTCGACCCTCCAGACTCCCCTGACGACACGGAATAGCCGTTGATGGTCCCGGTGAGACGTGGACCAAGGACGGTTGCCGGCATCTCTCTTATGAAGGGCTTGGTAAATAGGGGTTGTCATAGCACCTTGTGCTTACATTTAGGCTCTCGGGATTGTGTCGGGGAAATTTCTCTCCACATTCCGTTTACTGTCGTCCAATAGTGGAGGGGGTGTGAATTCTGATCAGGAGTTGCTGCCCTGGACCGTCTTCTTCAGAAAAAGCGGGATAAGGAGGTTCAGAATTGGCCCAGACACCACCGGGTCTAGCTCGGTTGGTACACTACTACACTCTCATGAATTGCTGAAATGCAGACCTGAGTTCGAAATTCAGATGGAACTAGATGAACAACATCATGAATTACCCGGGGCCCGTCAGTTCGACAATGCTATCTCGAGGCCGTTGCCCCTAGAAAAGAAAGAAGAAAATCGAATAGGCCCAAACAAGCGTGGATTCTAACGAGTGGACTGGATTCAGAATGGCAGAGCAGTTCCACTCTTTGCTATCCAGAATAGCACAGCAGCTCAACCCTTCAGAATAGCAAAGGGAATTATAGTGGCTTTGGAAATTATAGTGAACTGGGCTCAGAATAGCACAGTAGTTTGACAATGGCAAAGAAGTAGGCTGCGAGGAGCTTCAGGACAGCAAAGGAGAGGGGAGATAGGAGTAGGCTCAGAATAGAGGAGAAAGTTCAAGAGTACCAGAGTATAGATTCACAATAACAGAATAGGTTCGGGAATCGGAATGGTAAAGTGGGTTCGGACAAGGAGGTCTGAGAGACCAAAGGGAGGCAGGAGCAGGATAAAAATAGTGGTTAAAAACGTTTCCAAACAGCAGAGAAAATTTCAAATAGCAGAACAGCCTTCAGCAATATCGAGTAGGGACATCTGGATTACGCTTATGGACTCTCGGGGTTGTATAGCTTTTGAATGATTAAGCAACTACACCTGGGGCTAGGCTACCGGCTTCATCTGAATAGAGTGCTGCACAGTCATTATCGCTGTATCTGAATAGAGTGCTGCACAGTCATTATCGCTGTATCTGAATAGAGTGCTGCACAGTCATTATCACTGTTCTACTCCTCTCTCTCCTCTCAAGTTCATTCATTTCTTTCTGCAATTGGATGGCATTGTACTTCTCAGTGGATGTGTTTCTCGAAATTGGACAGGGTCATAACATTGGTATCAGAGCGGATTCTACTTGCTGGTGAGAGTTGACTTTGCTACCCTAACCCTAACTTAAGTGGTTGAGGGCAACACTTAGGGTTAGGGTTGGATGGTTGAGGGAAGTGGGGCAGCGTGGTTAAGGGAAGCTGCCCCCACCTGGTTAGGTCATGTGGGGTCAACATAGACCGTAACCAGGTTGCTTGAGAGTGAGATTAGGGTGGCGAGACATTTTGAGGAGACTTCATGCGGCGAATTGAGAGAGGCGACAGTGAGAGGCACTCGCACCTGGAATCTGATTCAAGGGAGACACTTGGCAACTTAAGGGCTGCCCTCAAGTAGGCGAGCTTGAGGGTCAGCGGCCATTCTGCATCAACGGACTGCAAGTTGCTACTTTGTTCTTCAGCATCGACGGGGGATCCGGCGTTGCACTTGGGTGTTGGAGCAGACCCTCCTAGGAGATAGGACACTAGTGTAGGGGTAGCGTTAGATGGGTCAGGAGGACCATATGAGAAGGGGGGTGAGTTCTCTTCATCTCAAAGCTCAAGGCCACTCAGGTAAGTGCCGTGCACCTACGGGATGCCCATGAATGTGTGTATGGTATTGATTGTCCTGCTGGGGTACTCTGGGTTTCTTTTCCTACTCCTCTGTGGTCTTGATTGTGTGACTGAATGCCTGTGATCTACCTACTCACCTGATGGATGGAAAATGAAGTATCTTGTTATACATGCCGAGTCTTTCTACAGTGCTTTCTCTTTTCATCACTGAACGGTTGTAGTCTGTAGGTTCTGCCAGAAGTTGAAATTTCGTTTTTCAGTGCAGTTGAGACTGAATTAAGTTCAGGTGGTACTCCTCTTGGTTGGGACCTGGTTGAGACCTACGTGGGACCCTTGGGACCCAGCGGGACCGGGCTCAAACAAGGAGAGCCCCTGGACCCAAAATCGGTTAGGCAATTGACCTCTTGTCTTCTTGGCTGAGATATGGATTCATTCTTCTTGGATTAGGACACCCACTGCTGAGGGGATCTTGGCTTTGACGTCTCGCATGTATTTTGATTGCGCCGTCCGTGGCTTGACTCGCACCCTGTACACCACTCAATTCTCCATTGTTGCATTTAGTCACTCGTTGTCTGATTTGTTGTACGGACACGGAGCTGGTCAGACTGGACTCGAGAGGACCTCGTATGCAGTCTGATCAGACTGGGTCGCTGGATCAGACCTCTCTTTGAGTTTGATTGTTTCTTCTGCTGTTCTCTGCTTCCAAATGAAATGCCGCTCCGGCTAGGAGTTCTACCTTCTTTTCTCTGAGTTTTATCTGTTTTTCTAAGTTCATTTCCAATGCCCGTGGAGACTCGCAATCAGAAAGTAGAAAGAGAAAGGGGGGAGAGAGAACAGGGAGAGAGGGAAAGTGATAGTCTGAGGTGGGCAAGGACGGGGAAAAGGAGTGTTCGTCTAAGCGCGGGGGGGAGTGAACCTCTTGAGAGTCTGATTGATTCTTTTGTTGTCTGGCGACTCTTTGATCCACCTGCCCACACTGACAGTCCAAAGATGGCCCAGCTAAATTCGACGCAATGGCGGGCCTTGTTAGATGCAGCCGGTGATGCTGAGAAACCACATCTGCAAGCACTCTTGGATGGTGCTATAAAACGGGAACAGGAGTCAGAGAAGGAGAGGAAGGAGGCCTTGCTGAGAAGGCAAGTAGCCCTCCTAGAGACTGCTCCCTCACTGACTGAAGAGCAGTGCGGGGAACAACTACAGTCCATCCTCACAGCCTTTGTTCAAATCAGGAATCTCGAGGACCATACCACTCAGATCGTTGAAGTCTTTGCAAAACTGCAGACACTTCAAGATGATCTGACTGAGATGACCCTCAAGTACCATGAACTGACGAAGGAGGTGGCGGATCTGCGACAAGCCCAAGTGGCCAACCCTCTTCCTCTACCTCATGGAACTGAACCTGCAATCGAAACTACCTCTGCCCCTCTTACTGTGTCTTCTTCTACCTCATCTTCGAGGGTGATGGCAACTCCTTCAGGACCTGCAGCAGGTGCAGATTCCACTGTTGCTGTAACAAGCAATGAGGCTGGAACTTCTGCAATTGCTGCAGCCCCAAGACCGGAACCAGCTGCTGTTGGTCCCAGCCACGCCAGTCCCTATGTGGACCGGAATATGGGTATGAATGTCGAGCCAGTCGTACGGGGCTTCCTAGAAGTCCAAGCAACGCCGACTGGGTTTCAAAAGTCTGCATTAGCCAAATGGCTAAGGTCCACCCCGGTTGCCTCCCTCGAAGAACTCCTTATCTTAGAATACCAAGATCCACATGTTGCTGCTAAAGCGAGGATTCAACTGGATAAAGTAAAGCACAACAAGTGGAATGGCTCCATGAAAAGCCTGCAGACCCATCTAAGCAAGTTGTTTGCCACTCCTGGTTTGGAACTGTCCACGCAATCTTGCTTAGATGTGGTCAAGGGCGCGGTTCCAACTAACTTCACTAGTCGCCTGGGCAGGGACTACATTGCTTATACTAACTGGCTTGCCTTAATGAAGGATGTAGTCAGTCTGGAGGCCATGGACCTCGTTAGCACGGCAGGCAGCAAAAAACCCATGGGCGGCAGACGGTTCAAGGGCAACAACCGTTTTGCTGTGCATGACCTGCTGGAGGCCGAAGAAGAAACCGATGCGGATGACCCCACTCTTGGTGACGACCAAGGACAGGACTCCGATACAGCTTGTTCTTCAGCCCATGAGTCCGACGCAAATAAAGAAGAAGAAAAATTTTCTGCCTTTAAAAAGACTGCCAGCACTAAGGGACCGAATCGGAGTGCCGGAAAGAGTTATGTTCAACTCCCCAAGGGAGTTAAGATCCCGCCTAAACCGGAGGATGCATCTACCAAACCATGGGTTGACCTCCGGATCACTGAGAATGACTGGCGGGGCAGACTCAAGAAAGGGGTTTGCCTGCATTGCCAAAAACCAAATCATAAGGTTCAAGACTGCTATAGGCTGCAGGGAAACCAGAATCGGGCGTAGAGTCGGATTCAGCAAACTCTACGGCAGGGGAGGCTGGTACTGTTGAAAATCAGCAGCCCTCCCTTGAAGCCCAACCATCTGCTGAAGACAAGGCTGCGGTAAGTAACGTATTGTATGACGAGCCTTGGGAGGAGTCTGAGATGATTGACTTCCACTACCACTTGGAGCGTTGGGCTGAAATGAAACAGCAGCGTGCCCAAGGGACAGTGAAGTTAATCTTCTTTAAACTTCTCATAAACCACCGCTATCTCCGTGTGTTAGTTGATTGTGGTGCTACAGCTAATTTTATGTCACTACATGGGATACACAAGGTGGGCTTGGGGATGAAGCAAGTGGCCCTGCAGAACCCTTGTCGGACCCAAGTTGGCAACAAAGAAGTTGTCTCTTCTACACATGCAATCAAAGGTGTGCGCACTACCTTTGACAGAGGTAAGACTGTCACCCACGCACTGAACTTCTTTGTCYTTGACAAGTGYCCCTTCGAYGYTGTCCTTGGCTTGRGYTGGCTGCAGTCCCAATGCGAATGGACCAAGTGGAAGGAATCACTCTTCATGGTCAAAGATGCTCAGGGGAACGAGCTTCCTGTCCTCTTGGATGAGGAGCACGAGTCCCCAGTGACTTTTCTAAATGCATTGAAATTCTGCAAGAAGTGGCGTAAGCACAAGAAGGAAGAACAAATGTATATTGCCTTTGTTCGTCCTGCTCATGTGCCTTCTACTTTTGCGGCTAGTACCACTACTACTTTGATTAATGATCCTACTTCAGATTCGGTCGTCTCTATACGCAACCTGCGACCGGACTTTGGTGATCCCTTTGCTGATTCCCCACCCCCACTTGTCCCGTCAGACATTCAAGCCCTCCTCGATCGGTTTCCGGAAGTCTTGGCTGAGCCACGTGGAGTCCCCACGCGACCAGTCCGACACACCATCGAATTGGTCGAGGGTGCATTTCCTCCAAAGGGCTGCGTGTACCGTATGGGACCCAGCAAGTTGGAGGAACTCCGACGGCAGATCGATGAGATGATTGATAAAGGGTGGATCAAACCAAGCGAATCTGAATTTGGTGCTTCCGTGTTGTTTGTGCCAAAGAAAGGAGGCAAACTCCGCACGTGTATTGACTATCGTGGTCTAAACCGCATCACAAGAAAGAATGCTTACGAATTGCCTCGTATAGATGACTTGGTTGATGCTGCAGGCGGGTGCAAGGTCTTCTCCAAGATCGATCTCAAGTCTAGCTACCACCAGATTGAAGTCGATCCTGCGGACCAGCACAAGACTGCGTTCAAGACGCGMGATGGGCTTTATGAGTTTACSGTAATGCCCTTCGGTCTTACGAACGCACCAGCCACGTTCCAAAGCCTCATGGACAAGGTCCTCCGCGAACAGATTGGCCGGTTCGTGGTAGTGTACCTGGACGATATCCTGATTTTCAGCAAGTCCATGGAGGAACACCTCAAACATCTTGAGGAGGTGCTTGCTGTCCTCAAGAAGACGCAGCTCCATCTCAACTTGGAGAAATCTGAGTTTGGGAAGGATAGCGTCATCTACCTTGGGCACCGGTTGTCTGCTGCAGGCTTAGAGCCTGAGGCAACCAAGATTGAGGTCATACGCGATTGGCCTCAGCCTGTGAACATTCGAGAATTGCGTTCTTTTCTTGGACTCTCGTCGTACTATTGGAAGTTTGTACCCCGTTTCTCCATCATTGCTCGTCCATTGTCGCGACTAACCAGCGAGAATGTGTCTTATGCCTGGGATGCCGCGTGTACGGAAGCTTTTCGGACTCTCAAGGAAGCCTTGGTAAGTTACCCGGTACTCCGCATTGCAGACCCCAAACTGACCTTCGTAGTCACTACGGATGCAAGTCAGTATGGGATCGGTGCGGTGCTGCAACAAGATGACGGCGATGGCCTGCGGCCACTTGAGTACTACAACAAACGCATGCCCAGCGTAAAGGTAGCCACGTCCACCTACATGCGCGAGCTCTACGCTTTGTGCATGGCGTTGGATCACTGGAAACATTACCTTTTGGGACGCCACTTCAAAGTGTTCTCAGATCATGAGACCTTGAAGTGGATCAAAATGCAGACTACTCTGTCCCCTACCTTACTTCGCTGGTTTCATGAGATTGACATCTTTGATTTTGAATTGAGACATAAAAAGGGTTGTTACAATCGAGCCGCTGACGCTTTGTCTCGCCACCCTGAGTACATGACTTGCCTTGTGAAATCCTACGACCTCCGGAAGAAATTGAAGGAGGACCTCGTAGAGCAGACAGCCAAGGATCCGAAACTCAGTTCCATCCTTGAGCAGTTGCGGGCTGATCCTAGTAGTCAGCCTGATTTCCACGAGTATGGAGGACTGATTTTTCGCCGATACGGGAACCATGACCGTTTGTGTGTGCCCAACCACGAGCCTCTCCGCACGCACTTTCTGGACTTGGCTCATGGCCGGAGCGGGCACTTCGGCATGGCAAAAACGTACGCTAACCTGCTGAGACAGTTTGATTGGCCTGGTATGAAAGGGACTGCTGAGAAGTTTATAGCTGAATGTCAAGTCTGTCAACGAATCAAACCATGCAGACAAAAGCCCATGGGGCTACTCACACCCCTACCCATTCCTGATGGTCCCGAAGAGTCCGTCTCCATCGATTTCACTGACATGGGTAAGGTAAGCAAGAACGGGTTTTCACAAGTCATTGTGATTGTTGACCGGTTTTCAAAGTTTCTCAATCTGATTCCTCTACCGCCTCACGCCCCAACAGATCCAGTGATTCGCGAATTCCAGCAGAAATACCTGCTGCAATTCGGAACCCCGAAGACTCTTGTGAGCGATCGGGACCCGCGTTTCATTAGCGCTGAATGGAAGGAGTTCACGTCCCATCTAGGAATCAAATTGTGCATGACATCTGGCCGACACCCCGAAGCCAACGGTTTGGCTGAGGAGATCAACCAGACTGTATTCCAACTACTCCGTGCTTTGATCATTCCTGATCAGGAAACATGGGATGAGGAGCTGTATTCTGTCAAGGGGTTGTACAACAACTCCGTCCACTCTGCCACCGCCACGGACGCCCAACCGGCTGCACTATGGGTGGCAGATCCGCAATCCACTCTCCTACTTGTTCCCTGAGCAGCCAGCTGGTTTAACACCCGGCAGGCCCGGCTTCAGGGCTAAGTATGATCGCTTGCTCAAAGTTGCTGTTGCAGCGATAACCAAGCGACAGCATGCCATGATTCATCATGCGAACAAGAAGCGCAAACCATTGGAGATTCAGGTGGGAAGTTATGTCTGGGTAAAGATTTCTGAGTTCTCAGAGGAGGAGGGAGTCTCACGCAAACTCCTCCCACTCTACTGCGGGCCTTGGGAAGTTTTCGATGTAATCGGGGAAGATCACTTTGGCCCTTCGTACGCTGTGGACGTGCCTGCTCACCTGCGCACATATCCCGTGTTTCACACATCTAAACTGAATCTCCATCGTGATGCCGAGACATTCGATTATCGTGAAGATATGATCCCTCGCGCAATCAAGGGCGGGCAAGAGATAGATAGGATCAAACAGCATGTAGGTAAAGGGAGAAACAGACAGTACCAGGTTCATTTCATGTATCACCCGTTAGATGACCTCTACTGGATTTCCAAGCAGGAACTGCTACGCAGCGCACCACGCGTTGTCAAGGCTTACGAGCGACAGATCGCCGTTAACGCCTCACCGAAGATCGCAGCAAGGCTCTCTGCAACAGAGTATTCTAGGAATCTATTTGCCTTGCTCGCCTACGACGCGTTTGCCGAGGACTCAGAATGAGTTACTCGCTCGAAGGGACCTCGCTCTTGAGGGGGGGGTAGTGTGATAAACCGTCCGAACACGGACTGTAACACACAGCTGATTTCTGAGTTTTGCTCATAGACTGAATGCCCTACTGAGTTCCCCGCCTGCTAAGTCTGTGTGTGTGTGCTTGTTGGACTGCATGTCTGTCTGAGTGCTGGTTGGCTTGTGTGTGTGACCATGCCTGTCTGAGTGCTGGTTGGTATGAGTGTGCGTGTGGGTGGCCCGCCAGGGCACTTGTTCGTTCGTTGGGCCCTCAGGGCCGGTACTTACCTGTGGCCGTGTCTTTGAAGGGTTGCTGCAGGGGGAAAAGCACTCAAGTAGCGGGTAGGCCGGTACCGCACCCGGTAGGGGGGTAAATATGCCGGTACCGGAGGCCGAGCAGAAGAAGACAAAAGTGGCATTTTTAGAGTCCGGTAGTGTAGGCTAGGTCTAGCGGGTACCAGTCTGAGTCTAGGGCCTGTAGGGGCAATATCAGAGTCTGCAATGATGTTCCCTCCAAAAAGAGGAGGAGGTACCGGTTGCTTGGGAAGGCCAGCGGCCTGGAAGTCACCGCCCAGGAGGCAAGTAGGCCGCTATATCTTCTGGCCGGGCGGTAGACCCGGCCTCTTTTTCGGTGTGCAAGTTTGGCGACACACTGGTGGAGCGCTGGAGGGACCAGCGCTGGGTTGGAGCTGCACTGCTGGGGAGGAAGAAGAAGGACGCGAGGGAGGAAGGAGGAAGGAAGGAGGAAGGGGGAGGAGCGCCAGGGGTACTTACCTGGCTATGGTGGCAGCCATCTTCATCACCTTGGTGGGCGCTGCAGCAAGACATTCCCAGCCGGGGGGAGCTACACCAAGAAGCTTCGAGGCAGGGCTGGGCATGGCGGCCTGAACTGGAGCAACCATAGCTGCTCTGGGTTGCCCTTTGGACGTCGGAGCAAGGCCTAGTAGTCTGCCATAGCCTCGGCCTATGTGTGTGAAGAGTGGGAGAGGCCGCCATGGCTATGGTGGACCATGAGTGATACCTGCAGTAGAAAAGGGACTCGGACATGATTCTGGACCAGTCATTCAACATTGTATTATTATTTCTTGTATGAATAAGAGAAGGGGGAGATAAGGAGGAGGAGATTGTTGGGCGAAGAAGAAGAGCCTTCTCATTGTCTTTGCTGGTATACATCTTCTTCTTCTCCTTTCTTACTTCTTCTTCTTCTTCTACTCCTCTCTCTCCTCTCAAGTTCATTCATTTCTTTCTGCAATTGGATGGCATTGTACTTCTCAGTGGATGTGTATCTCGAAATTGGACAGTGTCATAACAACCCTATTTTCTTCTCTCAATACTGTGGCTTTCTCACAAGTGCTACCTACCCCTATCTACTCCTAGTCCGATTGTATTTTTCCTTTTGAAGCCTATCTATGCACAGAAGTCGGGTGGCCCTGAAAGTTATGGGTCGACACTGGCCTCTGCTCTGCACAATCTGCTCTCCGCGGCGGCGAGCAGTACCCAGGCTTCTAATGCCTGGCACGAGCTGGGAAGCCGAAGCTACTTCCACAACCAGCCAGGAGGCCCACGCCAATTATCTCCACCTTTGAACCCGAAGCGTGTCGCTATTTGGGGGAAGACGGTAGGTTTTGCATGGTGAAGCCGCTTCAAAATCACAGAGTAGTTTCCTTCCCAGTGGAGGACCTCAGGAATATACTTGGAACGCAGTAGGTTTGGAATGGCAGAGAAGCTTCAGAATGGGAAGCAGGAGCTATAGTGTGGAGGATGGAGGGGCAACTCAGAGAATGTGAGGGAGGAACTAGAGGATGGGAAGAGGAGAAGGCGAAGAGAGAGAAAGAGAATGGCAAGGATGGGCACGCTCAGGGAACCAAAGAAAGCAGTCAGAAATGGGGAGGGATAAGTCCGCGAATGGGAGAGAGCAACTGGAGGCGAGAGGGGTTCAAAAAAAGAAGGGAGGCACGAGAAGGGCAGAAAGCGAAGTAGTAGGACAAGGGATGTGGCATACTGCGCAGCCACACGGGCCTGCAGGGCCTGTCCCGCAGTCTCAGCCTAAAAGCCTAGAAACAAGGGCTTACAGGCCCCGTGTCTGTGTCAGCCTGACAGCCTGAAAACCAGGGCCTACAGGCCCCGTGTCTGTTTCAGCCTGACGGCCTGAAAACCAAGGCCTACAGGCCCCGTGTCTGTTTCAGCCTGACAGCCTGAAAACCAGGGCCTATAGCCCCTCAGGCTTTAGCCAGAAGCTACCTGGAAACTTCCGGAAGCTTCCTCAGGATTAGCCAGAAGCTACCTGGAAACTTCCCGGAAGCTTCCTCAGGGTCTAGCACGTTTGGGCATTGGCAAGAGCAGCCTCCTGGACGGGCCAGCACTATATAAGACTGGCCTGCCCCACAGGCAGGGGAGTTCATAGGGACTGGCCAGGCACTTCACGTGCAGTCCAGGCAGAAGGCAGGAGGCAGTCTTCAGGATTCGGCAGCAGCACTCTGGAGGAGCGCTGCAGGAGTAGCGTTGACGCTAGCCGTAGTCTTCAGCGCTGGGCGCTAGTAGCTGCAGGAGTAGTCTTCAGCACAGGGTAGTAATAGTAGTAGACGTGTTGGAGAGAGATGGCTGGCGGAGGCCAGTGAGACTTACCTGTGGCGCCATAGCTCCAGCTCCATCTTCGAGGTACCTGCATCAAGGCGCCAGCTTCACAGGTTAGTACCGGACAGAGAGAGAGAGAGAGTTCTTCTTCTTCCTCTTCTAAGTCCACCATCTCTTCTTCACCCTCTCACTACCTGACTTCTCAGTATCTGCGGACTACGAGAGAGGGAGAGAGAGAGCTGTGACTTGAGACTTGACGACATTGGATCCAGACTTGACATTGGGATTCAGACATCTGACGGGGATTATTTGGGACCTGTATCGCGGACTTGGTGTTGACGACATTCCCATCTTCCCCTCTTCTTTGTCTAACCCCCCTCTTCTTCGTCTGTGTATGGCGGGGACTGGCGCATTCTTCCTGTGYGAGCGCCAGGCCCCTTCCCACCATGGAATGATGATGATGTGTGTTTGGGGCTGCATTGCAACATTGATTGTTCGGATCATTGGTATCTAAGTCTTCCGCTACGCTATCTTGGACTTTGTGAGAGAGGTCGGTTCTTGTTCTGGTCTGCACCTTTACGGTATGTGACAAGGGAACAGGAAGGACGGGTGCAGACAGAGAAATGAAGGGGACAGTCAGAGATGGGTAGGGAGCAGTCAGAGGCCAGGGGGCAGGCAATCGGTCGGAGCTGTTATAAGCTTGCTTGGGTCTTCTGCGCAGTGTTATGCAGGTACAGACGAGGACCAACTCAGGGCCCATAAGGTCCCTTCTGGGACCTGGGATTTTCTTTTCTTAGGGGCCAAAGGTTGTAACCTTCATGTCATCCTGGTGATGAAAATCCCCCTCATTTTCCTTGTCTTCTTCAAGACTTCAACCCCGTCCAAGATTAGCACTTCTTGTTATTTTTCCTCTTCCCAAGACTGAGCCAGAACTCTTGGCTTATTCTACTCTCTTACTTGCCTTATTCCATCCGGTCTTGTCTTAGTCCCCGTGTCCATTTCAGACAGTTTGTCGATTATACATTTTCTTTCTGAGCGCTAAGGTGTCGAGGTGTCTGAGTTACCAGGCAGGACCGCAAGCATCTTTCGTCCACGGATCAGGAGACCTAACTGGTGGCCGCTGTTCAGTGCCAGTCATGAACACTTGGTTCTTTGCTCTATCCGGAGAGCAGCAGCCTTAATCCCCGGACTTCGGAGGCATACTCCCTATTTTCTCAGAAATAGGGCCTCGCTCTGGTTCAGCACGCCTCGTGCGCCCTGCTTCCTACAAGCCTCACAGGTGGTTCTACAGGTCTCGCACTGGTCCTACAGGCATGACAATTGATCCACAGGCCTTGCACTTGCTGGTTCTACCAGGCCTCGCAACATCCCTACAGGCCTTGCACCGATTCCACAGGCCTCGCACGCGCTTGTTCTACAGGCCTCGCACACGCTGGTTCTACTGGCCTCCATGGCATAAGTAAGCAGGCTTGGGGTGAGCATTGAAGGAGAGATCAAGAACGCCATACCTTTGTATTCCGAACCAACGCAGCTGGGGTGAGCATTGAAGGAGAGATCAAGAACGCCATACCTTTGTATTCCGAACCAACGCAGCTGCCTTCACATAAGAAGCATAAGGCTCCATAGCCATCAGTTTCTCCAAAGTCATCCTCCCTTTCTCTACAAACTTCAGCCTTGCTCCTTCAGCGCATTTTGTATGACCTAACACATCACTGCCAAGAATTCACAATTTCATATTTCCTAAGTAAATACTGAATTGAGGAAAATCACCCAGTTACAGGCAGGCAAAGGAAACAACATGGGGCCAGAGAACTACGCTCACTCATCACTGGCAAGAAATTCACAGTTCTGGATTTCCTGCATAAATAGGAGGGAAAACACCAACCTACAGGGAATTAGAAAAAGTTAAAAGAAAAACAAAATAGATCAGAGCATACAATCGATGACAAGAAAGTTGGAAAAAACTGACAAATACCTGCGGCTGGTTTTCACTTTTGAAAATACACTGTGCTCCCCGTGGCATGGGAAATGACCCTCAACACAAACATATACTGTCTGCTCCGTAAAAAGGCTTTGCTTTACGTCTACAAGAAGGCTGCGCTTTCACATATATGTGGGGCCATAGGATGATTTCTAAACCCAAGGGGGGGGGGGGGGGGGGGGGGAA